AGACCGCCGCGCCGGCGGCGGCGGCCGCGCCGGCGGCAGCGGAGCCGGCGGCGGCCACGTCCTTGCCGGTGGCACCCGACGCGGCAGTCATGGAAGCCATGGGCATGGAGGAGGGAGACTGTAGGGGTGAGTGGCCGTGTTGCAAGAATGTTAGGATGATAACCGTGCCGACTCAAGAAATACAAAGGGGATGCTTGAGCCCATGCCTTGGAGACCCATTTTATCATTTTGTTAAATCTTGCCTGAGGAGTGAGGGGGGGGTTGGGGTGGGTTGATTTATTTTGTCCAAGATGTGTGTAATGGGGTTGGCCCCGAAAACGGTGATGTTCAACAAAAAGGGGCTGGCACCCCGGTTTAAGTTGCAGGAGGGATGGTACCCTTTTTAAGTACTCTCGGCTGCCAAGAGGGGAAGGTTGAAAAAACTGGCCGACACAACCGCTTGTCAGCTTGTCTGTTTGAGCCCACTTCGTCAAACAGTATTATGATAAAGTTCGGGCGATCGTTTGTCCAACACTTGTCAAAGTTTCAGCTTTTTCTTGTGAACTCATGGTGGTCATCGTGACCACAATGCCCAGCCAATCCAACAATGCACAAATGCACAAAGCTTAGGTGCCAATTATTATATACTCAACATTTTGCTTTAAAAGGGCAGAGACATAGAAAAGGCAAAGGAATTTGAAGGGGCCCAGTAAACCAGCAATTTCAGCAAATGAAATCACTTAAACCCATCCACGCCATCAATGAACAATTGCACAAATCTTGGCCCCAATGATTTGATTAATCAACTTCGCTTGAAGAGGGTAGGGAAATAGAGAAGGCTCAGGAAACTGAAAGGGCCCAGTGAACCAGCAGCTTCAGCAAGCAAAATCACTTAAACCCCAATCCATCCCTCGGAGAAGAAGGCATCACAGCTGGATTTGGATCCAAAATGATCACTTTGAATTATCCAATGCTTGGCTACCCCCAAACTGGAAGTTCTGGACTTTGGCCACAAGAGATTTTTTGGGAGAGGTCCTTTTCTGTTAAGCTTGGCTTCGCCTGTTTTTCATATTGTGTTCTCTGCCTTGGCTACTCTGATTCTATTTCATTTTGAGGGGGTTTCAACCCCCTTGTCCATCATAGAACAGCTATGTTGGGATGACCAGACTAAGCCGTGGGCAAAAGCAGAGAATTTTGCCCTCCCCAGCAAATCTTTGAAGGGTAGACGAGCATTCTTTAGGGGCAATGATGTAGTTGCCCCAAACCTTTTTTTTGAGTCTGCTCTGGAAGTCGTAGCCATCACAATGCCAATCGAAGACTCGACTTTGGAGGACATGGATGATGAGTTGCGACAGGCCTTGCTCTTGTCCATGCAAGAGATGGATCCTGTGCCTGCCACGTCCACACCTGCCGCGTCCGCGCCGGAAGAGGCACCCAAGAGGAAGGCGGAGGAAATGGAGACAGAGAAGCCGAGTGTGGAGCCTCAAGAGAAGAAGCCGACGACAGAGGGGGATGCAGTTCTAGATTCCAGATGGCTACAAGATCCCTCTTTCGTCCAAGAGTTGCTTGGTTCCTTGCCTGGTGTGGATATCAATGATGAGCGCATCCAAGAAGCATTGAAGGAGGTTAGTGGTGGCAGTTCGCAGGACAAGAAGGATGGAGACAGCTCAGACAAGAAGGATGATCCAAAGTGAGTGTTCAATTCGCAGATGTTCCACAGCCCCAGAATTGCGTGCACAGGCGTAAAGCAGTCTGAAAAAGAGGGGCCCTTGCAATCTGATTGTTGGCCAGGGCGAAAGTCTAGCAGGACCGGTAAACATCCAAATCCTTGTCTTGAAGCAGTTTATTTGCACCAAAAAGAAGCTCTCCCTACAGGTCCCAGCACCTTTGGCTTCCTTGTGTCACATGTTTGTTTTCTTTCGTTCTTTCCCCATGGCCGACGTTCAAATCACGAGGACCCACCGTCGTCTCGCCGCCACCGTCGTCTCGGTGCCCCAGCCTTCCAGGGCGAAGAAGAGACGACCTGCGAGAAGCTCACGGCCGGGGGGGCGTTGTTTTCCACGTTGGGAGGGACGCCTCGATCGAGATGGGAGACTGGTCGTCTCAGTTGGGGTTGGAGGGTTCCTGGCGTTGGCTTCTTCAAGGGGCCTTTCAAACCGACTTTTAACCAATGATAGCACCAAGAGCAGGAATGTGCATGGCGCGATGCAGGGTGATCAACACAGATACACATCCTGTGCGCACCAACTAACTGTCCAGGGTGGGAAATGCCCCATTGCAGTTCCTGCGCTGGGCTATTCATGTTCCTTGGTGAGATGAGCGATTGGCCCGGCTGTTCCGGTTCCGCACGCCGTTCCGAACATACCGGAATCGAATCGACTGAATCTGCGGTCCAGCGGCGCCGATGTGAGCGACGGTCATCCCCCCAAACCGGTCGCCCCACACCGGTCGCCGAGGCTTGGTGAGCTGTGTAGAGTCGGTGGCCTCCTGCGCCAAGCTGAACCCGCGGAAGCCGGGGGTCAACACCTTTGAGGATCCCCATTTGTGCGCCTTGGCAGTCGCTGAAGTGCTTCGCTGTCTGCTCGGTCCAGCAAGCAATCTGACGGACTCTCGGAAGCGACGGGACCGTCAGCGGAGGCACCTCTTGCCATGTGACTGCGTGCAAGATGTGCACCTTTCCCAGCAAAGATGGTCTAGCGAAGTGCCAGGTTTGCTTTGATCCTTGGCGAAACGTGGGATGCATTCGGGCCTGGCAAGTGAATCAGGCCGGTGCTTGCATGTGCATGGATGGGCAGAAAGAACCGATGATGGCGAAGGGTGAGCGTCTAAGATCGTCTTAAGGTGTAGTTCACTTGAAGAGGTGGTTGATAGCACTTTGGTTGGCCAATCAGACCGGCAGCGGCAAAAATGACTCTCCTCACTTTCCACGCGGGTCTCGGGAGACCGAGGATGGCTTCGAACTGGTGGAACGTCCCGATGGAACTCAGGAGTCTCGGAGATGGATATGAAGAGAGATAGAATCCAAGAAATTAATACCCCAAAAGCATTTAAAACCTGTTGCAGAAGGTGTAGCAGAAGGGGTAGAGGTTGTAGAGCTCCAAGTGTGACACTGTGCACGCATCCGAGCAATTATGCAGCTTTCTCAATGGGCGGTAGGCGAGTTGTAGTATAGCATCCAGCTACGCAAATGGTATAAATAGATATAAATAGGGCAAAGTATAGGTTGCGTAGAAGAATGTGATGCCTGGCGCTGCCCTGTAGACACTGGCAAGAGAATATGTTCATCAGACAGGGGTTTTGCTTCTCATCCACCAGACCGCTGTGGGGTACAGCAGAAGCCCTGCTGGGTGGCCTGAGCTCTTGTCCGCAGTCTGAGCTGAGCTCAAGAGCTGAGGAATGCGTGGTCTGGGGGCAAAGTACCATTGTTCTCGTCACCTATGTGTTGATGTTCGACGCTTGTCGAAAGAAAGACGTGCTGAACCGAGCAACTCAGATTTTGGAGAGTAAGAGATTATATGTCGCAGCACGAATCAACCATTTGAGCGACAAGAGACAAACCTATTCAGGATTGGACTTTCGTATTCGGCTGCCCTGTTGTACTTCAAGTTCTCCTTGCTTTTCTTGATTCATTCCAAAGAAGTTACAGAAGTTACAGTTATACAGAAGAGTCCCAGTGATTAAAGAGTGTGCAGGCCTGCACCTTTCTTTGTCCTTCTTTGGCAGTCGTTGGACGTTTGCTTGCTGGTCATAATTCTACAGGGACCTAGACAACCTCTAAGCACGTGCTGCTTGAGAAAAGTACATCACCAGTCCATCCTCCTGAGTCCATCCTACTCAGCCGACACTACATCAGGATATTGGTCCATCCTACTCAGCCAACCTTTCACCCTTTCACCCAACTGCTGGTGTCGACCCAGATCATTGTGGCACTGATCACGTTGATCTTGCTGGGCACCTGCTTTGTGGCCGCGCGAGAGAGCATGACCCGTCCGAACATGCAGTCGGTCGCACCATTGCCAAGTGGAGGGGGTGGTCCAAAGATTTGCAGGAGTTTGGCACAAATCTAAACACGCATGCCGCATACCAAAAATATTGAATCTCCATGAAGGTGCGGGGTTTTACATGTGGGGGATCATTTTGGGAATCTTCAAATGTGCCAAGCTCACAAGGACCTTCTTGTTTGCACAGGATGGATCCGCAGCTCACCAATGGTAGAGGTATATGATATTATATGATCAGTGTTCGCTTTTTGAAGGATGCGCAGCACATCACGTCCGTTGAGGTTCCGTTTTGACCATCGTTCCATTCGGTTTGGTGGTCTATCTTCGGGCTGCGCCGGGACCCGACGATCCATCTCGACCGCTTGGTCGACCGCAGCGGGGACTCGCGCGCAGGAAGAAGATGAAGCACGGAACCACGGTGAACCTGGAGGCAGCTGGGCAAGCTCGTCAGCTAGGCAAGCGGAGTTACAAGATGTTACAAGTACCTTCGTCTCCAAGCGGCTGAAGTGAACAACACGAACAATCCTTGATAACTATATATATATGTATACCTGCTTCTCTCAGAAATCTGGATCCGAACCAATCCCCTAGCATTGGTTCGCTTTGGGAATGGCCAATCTGGGGAATTCATGCCGGGCTTACCAATCTCTAGATTCCACTGCTTCCAGCAGCGTGGGGTAGGACTTTCGATTCACTCCACTTGGGCAGTGTGCAGGTGATTGGACACTAGACATTGGAGGACGTGCGTAGATTGACGAACGATGCAACTGGGAGTTCAAGAAGCACCAGAGTTCTATACCACACCTTCTCATGCTGCACATCTCACGGTCCGCCTTGTTTCATTGGTGTGTACATCCCCTACACCCGATGGCGGTGCCCACCGCTCACGCCTCAGTCGACACTCCTTCAAGCGACCTACGAGGAGAAGTCGGCGGTGCCTCGGATGTGGCTGTGGTGGCTCCGCCGACGTGAATGAGACAACTGGTCGTTTTGGTGTGGCTTTTGACAACTTTTGTTTGGTTTTGATTGGACTTGGGGAAAGTGGGACACACTAGGGGAAAGACTTGACTCCCATTAATTGAAGACTAATGATTCGTGCTGCTCCACGAAGCAAGGTGAACATGGCTCAGCATCGAGAACAAACGCCACAGGCCTGGTGCCATTTGTGTGCAAACAGAGATGTGTTGGTCTATTATTCATGGGTGTCTCAGTGAATAGTTGCCTATGCATTCATACTGAAGACCCCCACTCAACCATCAAAGTTGTTGCCATTAGACTGCCATCACATCATTGGACACTTCATTCCTGTATTTGCGGGTGTTGATGTTGTCTAAATTATCGATTCGGAGGGGCAAAGATGCAACCCATCCAGGGCTTGCTTTGGCTTTTCTAAAGGGATTCCTTCCGCATCCTGCAAAGGGCTGCAATGGATATATTTTGTCGCTTCCTAAGATCTCGGATGTGGAGGTCCCAACATCAACGAATGCCAACAGTTATCTTGGGGAGTTGACTCACCGCTCTATGCATTTTTGGGTTTGCTTCGTATCTCAATGAAGAGCACGTCCCCAAGAAATCGATGTCGTTCTGCATTCATTGGTTTTGAGATCTCCGGAGTCTGAAAAAAGACATTGTCGGGAGGCAAAAGGAACGCCGTTGGGGGGGCGACACCCCCGGTGAGTGTTTTTGCCAGGACAAGAAGCACAACGAGAAGGCCATCTCGCAGCTTGGTGGTGTGGAGTTGGAGGTGAAACATGTAGGATGCGAAAGTGTCGTCAGGCTCTGCTTGGTCAAGGACGACTGTCGCACATCATAGGACCCTTTCCGTGTGTCAGCTTGCACCTCGGACCTCGGACATCCTCAGACCTGAGTGCTTTGTTGAAAAGCAAATTCGATTCTTTTTGGCTTGGACTCCTAATTTGTGAGTGTAAGACATAAATAAATACCATTGAAATAATATAAAGAGATAGTGGGCTAGATGAGAGTAAGAAAGAAATAAATGCCGTGGAAGCGTCTGTAAGGTTGGAACACAAGACCCTGAGAACTTGGATGAAGAACTCACGCCTTTGGTAACAGCCTGGTCACATCTGGGCCCCTTCTTGGATCTGGGGCCCCCTGCTCTTGGCCTGGCGGTTGACCGTGTACTAGCGAATCATTCTCTGAGTTCAACCGCCAGTCAAGGAAGGTCCAACATTCCCCTTTCCTTCTTTCCTTAATCTGGGACCTTCCTTGTCATTCATTATTTCTATCAGCCATTAAATTTATTAAGGTATTTTGCATTAAATTTAATGGCTACAACAGCATTTATTTCTATCTTACTCTCATCTAGCCCACTATCTCTTTATTTTATTTCAATGGTATATATTTATTTCTTACATTAATATTTCCACTTCATATTATTCCTTAGGGAATTTAAAGTCAAATAAGAAGAATAAGATCATATCTAATTATTAATGGACCAATAATCTCTTATCTATTTCCATATCTTTCCTGAACCATAAGATGCAAGGGATGGATTACAAGAACCCTTTATTTTTAGGAGATAATATTCACCATTCAATCCTTTTATTTAATATTTAATTCTCTTTTACAATCATCTTTTATTAAAATAAGTTCTATCGGTTAGGGAATGCATTTCTAGATCTTATGGTCCATTATTTATTATCATCAACTATTTTTTTAACCATCATTATTATTCTATCATCTTAATTTAAGTTCTATCTGGCATTCGTATTTTATTTGCTCTTGAGTTGCCAAAGGTAATAATAGGATTTTAATTCATCCATTAACTTTAATTTATTCACATAACATGCATATTATTTTATATTCTTTATCTCTTCATTTTATTCATAATTTATATTTTCCCTATCATCATTGTATTATTTTATTCCCTGTATTTTATAAAAGATGGAAAAGATATTATTATTTCATTCTTAATTACTTTTCTCTAATCCATTTGCTCTGGTACACCATCAATTATATTATTTCCTTGGGATTTATAATTCTTATCTTTGGACTCTTCTTAATTAAATTCATATGAGGTTTATTGAAATTCTGTCTTCTTTATTGTTATTTATTATGGTTCAACATTAATAATACTGTCCCTTTTTTCGGCCATTCTGAATTTGTTGGGCGGTGCCAGTCCCTGCCGCAAGCTGGCCCTGGTGGATGTTTCGCCTCCATCGACCCCTCTCGCGACTCCGCTTCTGTGCCAAGGCAAGGCTTCATGACAAGTCTTCAGGCCAGAGCTTTGAACTGAACATTTTTGCTGGACAGTCGCTTTGGACCTCTGGAAGAGGAGACATCCGTCTTTCCAGTTTGACATATCTCCTGTCTTTTTTTGCAACCCACCGCCAGTCCTACAGCCCACTCCATTCCGTTCTTCCAAAAGAACTCGAAAATGGAGGCTCCGTTTCTCCATGTTTCCACTGGTTCTCCGCTCCCCGTTCCGAAGAAGGGCCACCACGCGCCCGTGACGTCGCTCCAGCCAGGCGTCCATCAAGTTCGAGTCCCTGCGCCGGGCCGGGAAGCACACTGAGAGCAGGGTGAAGAGGTGCCGGTTCGGGGAGATCCACGGCGTTCTTGGGAGGAAGCAAGAGGTTCTGACAAGAACCATAGAATAACCATAGGACGTTGACTCTTGAGTCATGCAAATCAAAAAAAGAAACCTATTTGGATCTATTTTGATTGACCTCTTCATTTGGGGGGGCTTTATTAATTGATTTTTTGACCATGTTTCAGCAAAGAGGACAACATGACATACTTCATGGTGCCAACGCCCATTCTTCCAAGGCATGCTTGACCTTAGCTGCCATACATTCGTAGACGCACCTGCGGCAGAGTGCAGGCTGGTGAAAGCAACGCTGGATTCCAAGCAGGATGATTTGGGCATCGGCCTTCAATTGTGCTATGCTCAAAGCGATGCAACATGTTCAGGACATTCGCCTCCACATAAATCATGTCCTTCTTGGTTTCTGGCCAAGGTTCTACAACACGCAGATCTTTCTCATCGTCTTCAGCTTGCTTGGTTTGGCCTTCAACTTCTTCTCGCTGAAGGTGCTGGGTCCTGGTTGGGGGCCCTACCTGCTGTCGAGACAGGGAAAGGAGCATGACCAATCCTATCCCACTCGGGACGGAGAGAAACCCCCTGTCCCCCCCCCCAAACCCCAGCGGTGAAAGCCCGATTTCAACGAACGAGGCACATCCTTGGCCCACTTGGTGGAGGAAGCCCAAGTCTGTCCCAGCTCCGCAGCGGATCTCAGGACCGGACGGATCTCGGGGTCTCATGTCGTGGTGCTGTCGAGTGCGGGGTCGGAGGGTGGGTGGCCGGGCAGACTTGGTGGGCCGAAACAGGGACCAAAGAGAGGCATACTATGGTATACTTATTATGGTGATCTCCTCAACAGTTGACCTTTTTTTAAAGAGAGGCGGGTGTCAAGCATGACCAGAATTTTACCACCAGGGCACAAAGAATTGCGATGCACTCAACGAAAACATCATTTTGCTCGTGAACTTTTCTGCATAGCGCCTGAAAAAACACGAACATAGAAGGCTACAGCTGCTAGGAACTCCATCCCTGTTTTTCTCTCAACTTTGCTGTCGCTGTGAGCGGTTCTTCGACCGGGGTCAGGAAGCTGGAAGTGGATATCGTGACAAGAGCAGCTTGGCTTCCGCATGGGTTCACAGGTGAGTCCTTCGATGTCAGTCGCATCAGGTTGGTCCTATCTTTTAAACGGCCTACCGCGCTTCGTTTGGCGAAGCCCGAACTGAGGAGCACGACCGCGCGAAGATCGGGCAGGTCGTGGGCATCAGCTTCTGGTTCGCCTCGGCGCCCCGAAACCAACGCGGGCGCGCACGGTGGCCACGTGGTGGCGTGGACGGGTGGACCGGTGAAGTCGTGGTTTGATCGTCTCGTGGCGATGCCCAAGGGGGACTTATATACTTGGGCGTGCTTAGCGTGCTTGGTGCTCTTTGGGGAAATGCGCCATGTAACGAATGAGGGTGACGGCAGGATCAGGACGGTTCGTGGTGCAAGTTCTGTCGGACAAGACATTGAGAAGATTCTGCAGCCCAGGTCTTGCTCTCATGGGGCTTTCACTACTACCAGAAGAGCTTCCAGAAGGAGTTTCCCGACTGAAGCTGAAAGAACCATGCACAGAAGACTGCACGGAGTGGCCAAATGCCGTCTTCAGTATTCAGTCAGAGGGAGACCAAGCCAACCAAGTGAGTCATAGGAATGTCAGCCTGGGAGATTCAACGTCCAGGCTCTCCCCAGGATTGTGAGCCTCAAGACCAATTCAAGACCAATCTAATAGAGTTCAATACACCCGGATTGTCATGTGGCACAATATGGGCATGATAGGTCTGGGTCTATCCCAAGCCTTTTTTGGTTTTGGGGCAGAAAGACTTCCCTTGCAGGTATGACTCTACGCACCAGACATCTGATGACTACACTTTGATGTTGGAAGGTGTGCCCAGAGAATGCACGTCAGAACGTCGATTGCACAGATATTTGGAGAAAGAGTTGAACATGGAGGGCCGCATCTATGGTGTTTGTCACTTTGGCTAAGCATCATGAACCTTCGTTGGACGGTTCGTTGGTCGTTTTTTTTCATTTTTTTCCAATGGCTTCCTTTGAGAAAAACGGCGAACATTGGACACCGATTCTTCCGTTTCTTTCTTCTGCAGGTATTCTATATGACCTGGTGCACATTCCCCCGGAGGTCAATGAGAAGTGTGAGGAGATGCTGGAGCACATTATTGAGCTGGATGACTTAAGAAATGGCTGGGCTCGTGCTGACTTCTCAATGTCAGAAAAGGCACTCGAAGAGGCCGGGAGAACATGCAAACTGCAGGCGATTCGGAGAGAAGAACTCTCTAAAGCAAGGTGCAGCGGCAGGTCTCTGCCAGTAATAATAACTCTCATAACTGGAAACAGACTCACACTTGCTCTTGGCACATTCCAAGAAGAGCCTCTTGATGTTCATGTGGACATGGATGAACATGGGCACAGCAGAAAGAATTTGGGATTCAAGAATCAGAGTGTGTCTTGAATTTTTCCCTTGCCAAAGGGGTTCTGATAGTGACCAATTTAGAGAAAAACAACGATTCGAACGCACGTTCTGCTGCCGAGCCTCCGAGCCTTCGAGGATATCGAGAACGATAAGGAGGAGTTCAAGGAGATCCTCCACAAGCACTTGAGATGTTGTGGACGCGCATACATCGTGTCCTGATGCAATGAGGATTTTCCGTTTTCCGGGATGGCCGGGTGGTGTGGTGCACTTCCCTCTACACTCTACACGCTGAAGAGTGTCGAGAGCAGTGTCTCAAATCGAGGCCACCGACAGTTCAATAGGTGCCCCGTTTCCAACACTAACGATTCCATAAACAACTTCCACCTGGCATCTGAAGAATTTTCCGGGTCTCCCCATGGAAGACTCCACAGTTCTGTGGAACACTTTGGACACCAGGTCTTCCACACACAGATGTCCATGATCCGCGTTTTGCGTGAACGTCGTGGGCTTCGAAAGCAGATCTTGCTTCTTGGTGGCAGTTCGGCCGAAGCACCGATCATATACATTCATATACTGTATATATATATATATATATAGAGACTCTAGATATGGACATGCCACATTTTGAACAAGGTTGTCATTTCTATGTATTTGGAGGGTCCCTCTAGTACTTGGCACCTCAGCAAGCTATTGAAAGACTGCGGGATCCTCAACTTCCATATGTTTGCTCGTATGACTGTCTCTCAAAATCAGGGGGGCCCAAGACACATGTCATGTGTGAAGAGAGTGAACATAAACAAACACATATATATATATAACTAACTGCTGACCTTGATATGTCACGTGGGCCACGTGGGTGTGCGTGGCACTAGGATAAGGTGCCCTGGCTGGAGTAGCAACACCATGAGATGACATGTGATGCAGAACTTGTTCAAAAACTGTTTTGCAATCGAATCAGTCTGGTCACCTTCATAAAGTGGACGATGCAGGACGATGAGCACAGGTATTCAAATTTTAAACTACCAAGTACAAGATCTTTCACTGAGATCTAAGGATAATATATGTAACTTCACTTGTCGGTTTGGTGTTCTCCGAATCAAAAGGTGTATGCGTCAATTGTGAGGGTGCCACAGTTGATTGGTGGGGAAAGCAAAAGAAATCCGCCAAGTGAACCTTCCATGTTGCAAGAGGACCAACCCTTGGAACTCAACTCCCATGTGTCAAGATGAAAGTCCACCCACCAATCTCTGGCCGCGAGGTTCCCAAAATACGAGAGCAAGGATGGTGATGGTGAGATCGACATGGTCCAACTACTGAACCGTGGAGATCAGCCAGATGGAGTCAGTGCCTGGCCTTCTAACGAACTCTAACAGTAACAGATACTCTTGGATCATCTGCTAGCTTCACCTCTGATCCCCCGGCCCCTTTTCGTCTCTTTTTCATCTCCGATGTCCTGAGACTTCGGACCGGCCTTGTCCTCAGGATACGAGAAGGCCGAGATGTCCCCTGCCGAGCGCCGGAAGACCTATTTGGTCCTGCCGGCCCGGCAGTCGCTTCCGCTGCAGTTTTCGGGTCCGGTCGTCGGAACTGGACAGCAACGGTCGGGTGGTTGAGGCGCATGTCGTGCACCTGGCCTGGGGTGGAGTCGGAGTCAAAAGGCATTGAGAAGTTGGCAGACTGGTGTGCTTGCTTGGGCTGAGGATTGTCTATATTTTGATCTACGTGGTCACAGCGCAGGTCTTCTACACTTTTATGCAAAAGCCCTGGAACGACTGTGCCATGGAAGCCTCCAGTGCGGCTGCGGGGGTTGCTTTAGCCAGCAAAGGCGGACTTGAAAGGGTGGAGACTCGAAAGGGGTGCCAAGCCCTGAAAGCTTCGAACTGACTCAGCTTAACTCTGCAGAGTTCATGAGATACGCCTTTTCACCTTTTGCGTGCAGGCGTTTTGCTGGTGAACTTTGCCATCCAGACCGCCGTGGCTTTCGATGTCGAGGGGTGCGGCTTTTTGCGGATCGCGTGGCTCAGATGAGAGCCAGAGTGTGGGTTTTCCCCGCAGACATCGGGGGCATGGAACGTTCCAAATCTTTTGTGGCCAACTTGGGTGTTTTCATCAAAACGATGTCGTTTCCTCAAAAAAGGTCAGCGACTCCTGTCCCAACTGCGCAATCCAATCACTTTGGGACGTCAAATGATGTGTCTTGAAATGTCTTGAAGAGTTCGAGCTCTGCTGGGAAGAAGAACGCTTCCCCAGAACGCTTCCTCTTCTTTTGTCTGGCATGATCAACCCTCCTGCAGCGACATGCAGCGACGACGTTTGTTACGTTACGTTTAGAGCGACGACTGAGTTCCTGCCGACAACTTGGTGTTGCATATGCCAAACAGATGTTAGCATCGCACTGAATTTACACGAGACACATGGAACAACACATTGGAGCGCACCATGCCAATAGCTCCCTATAGTATATAGTAAAACGTAGTAAAACGACGATGTAGGACGACAGTTTTCGCGACAGGTTGCAGTATCCTTATTGGCTCAGTAGCGGCGGATTGAATGCTTCAGCTCTTCATTCAATAATTATGGTAAACCTTGATGGTCGCTTGCAACCACGGCTCCGTTTGTCGGCATGGTAGCTTCCTTCAACCACCTTTTGCCAGTGGGCAGTCCCATTCGACGGCCAGTCGTCACGAGGAAGGTGGATCAGATGACCTTCATTTTCAACACCCTGCTGATGGCCTGCAGCTCAGGTATCCGCTTTTGAGCTTTCTTCGCCTTCTGTGAAGGAGCCTCCTTCAGGAAGAGGTGTAAATTTGGACTGAGATCCCGAACACCGAAAGCTCTGGCGCAGCGCTCATCCTTTGTTCTTTTAACCCATAGCTTTTTAGAACATTATAGAAGTTGGGTGTTTGTTTTTTCGATGCATTTTGGGCGTCTCTTCCGGGAGGCTAAGCTTTCATGAGACTGCCGACAACACTTTTGTATACGTTTGTACATGTTTAATTTACTGTATATTGAAATGCGGAGACCTCCGAACTAATGGAACTGTTTATTTTCCGAACCAATGGGGTCTCCCATGGTCTCCCTATTCGAAGATACCCTGTATATTGATTTGACCAATGGACCGTCTAAGCTGGTAAGGGTGTTTTTCCAAAGCCGAAATCGCCTCGGCCGACAAGGCCCTTGTTGTTGTTGTTGTTGTTGTTGTTGGTAGAGACAAAAACAGCTGCCCAACATAGTTGTCACATGTTGCAAGTCAGGGATTTCAAAGGGACACTGTTAGGGATAGGGTGGAAGGTTTGGAGAGATGTTAGTAGCTGGACTTCTTGTCGTTGTGGTACTCAAGTCTTGGTTGGTCTGTTTCTTGTTTTTTGATGTTTTTTTGGGGTGTTGTTCTGGAGGGGGGGGTAAAAAAATCAACAACGGGGCTGCAGATTTTGTTTCTAGGGCGGTAGAGACAACAACATCTTTTGAGGGGGGGGTCCAAAAAAACAACAACGGGGCTGCAGTTTTTGTCTCTAGGATGTGGTAGGTAGAGGTTCTAAGTAGAAGTTTTGCAGAGGCTTAGCTGACCGGACTACCACTACTACTACTGCTACTACCACCACAACAACAACTACTACTACTGCTACTACTACTACTACTACTACTACGACCTCTACAACAACGACTACTACTAGTACTAGTACCACTAGTACTAGCACTAGTACAAGCACTACCACTACTGGTAAAAGATGGCAAAAGTACATGTTGTTTGTTTTCGGGGGGGGTCAAAATAACAACGACGGGGTTGCAGATTTTTTTCCACCCCCTTGTAGAGACAAAGGAACAAGATATCTTGTAACGGGGCTGCGGTTTTTGTTTGTACCTTGTTGTTGTTGTTGTTGTCGTTGTCGTCGTCGTCGTCGTCGTCGTCGTCGTTGTCGTTGTTGTTGTTGTTGTTGTTTTTCACTTGCTGAGGTGATTACCTTGCTGTACATTGTGTTTCAGGAGTGCAATAAGCAAGGCCTGAGAGCCTCGGCCTCATGTTGTTGGAAGGATGGCGTTGATGAGCACCTCTCCCCCTTCAACCAAAACCACAGGTTGATCCGGAGACGGGGAAATTCGGCGAATGGGGTCGAAATCGCTCCGTTGCGAACCACGAGCTCTGACGAGAAGTCGATGACATGATGGCTCCATGGTTGAGAGGAACCTGTTATGCTGCATAGGTTGTATATGTTCTATGAGACCAGAAATGGGGAGCACGGCTAGCACAGCTGCAACCTTTGATTCCTTGGGGGGGCGATGGTCTGCTGATGCTTCCAAGCGGCCCAGTGAGAGTACAAGTGGTGGCCTTCGAGTTGAATCGAAGGAACCGATGCCTGTTGCCCAGCCTGTGAGCTGGCATGTCAACTTAATGTTGATTGTTGGCCGAAAGAATCCAACCTACCGGGATGCTGTTACTGGTACATCTCCATATCGAGGTTTTTGAGTGATCAACAGCCAAGTGTTGTCATGCTGCCCTTCTACTTAGTGCCGCATCAGACATTCCGAGGATCAGTGTTTTTGCCGCCCGAGGACGACGACGTGTGTGGCGCTGTTGCGCATGGGGCAATATCAGGGATTTTTGTTGAATGAAACAGTTTTTTTCGGGAATTGCAGACATTTAGAGGAGGGGACCCCAACCTGCGACTCATCTATTTTCTTATACCAGTATATAATGGTTTTGATATCACCTTGAGACACATCCATACTAGTGGTGACACTTGAAACCTGATACTAACCGATTGGGGCCTGCCCGCTGGGCCCAAACAAGGATCATCCTGAGGGAGAGGAGCTTCGTCCACCAGATGTGAGCTTTAATGGTGGCAACCTCTTGCGTGTAGCCAAATGTAGCGAAGGAATGTATATGAAGTTAGGATTTTTAAATCCTAAACTTGCAAGAAAGACATAAACCAATCATAACCAATATAAATCACGCTTCAATCGAAGAACCCAGCACTGGTTTTCATCCAATAGTTTATGGCGTGAAGATACCACTCCCCTCTTGCAGCCACCCCAAAAACAAAAGATCACCAACCGCACACGACCTGCTCTAGGATCTTTGACTCGAAACAACTACTGACTGGTGGACCTGGCATTGGAACTGACCAGGATTGGGGAACCATCATGCTGGTCTACCTAGAATTGTCTTCTATTTTCTCTGCTCTTCGTTTTCACTCCACTCGGAACCACCAGCTGCGGACACACCCCACAGACAGTCGGACACCGGACAGACGGTCTGCTTGGACCGGACATGCGAAGCACCGAAGCACCGCAGGAGGAACTCACTGCTGAGTGGTGGCAGTGGCGGAGTGGCCTCGTGAACTCAGCAGCTGCTGAGGTGAGCGCCTACCAGGCTGGTGATGCTTGGGGAAGATCGGACACCGGGGGGGGTGATGCCGGGTAGGGGAAATTTTGGGAGGTTTTTGAAGTCTCCAAGATTTTGTTGGACTTTTGGTCTTGATGTGGTGTAGGCGAAGGTAGGTGCTTCCACACCTTTCTAGCCTAAAGGGTCATCGGGCATCAGGCCGGATACAACGGCTTTGCGGAAAAGCGAAGAGATGCACTGAGAGACGGTCTCCAGGCCTTGGTCTCTGTCTTCACTGAGCAGACCATCATGTGCCTTGGCGAAGGCCCGCAGAGGTGGGCGGTGACGCGTGGGCCACGGTGACGCACGGGCCATGCCCATGGGCCACGGATACAGAAGTAGATGCAATACAATGATCGAAAATGCTACTGACCATGATAGTGACCATTTGGAGTCGGTTTCTGCAGACTGGGATGCGCCAAGAATGGCAACTTGAGAACGCATGGAATGCCTGTCAAAATGAGTCCCACAGCAGTCTCTCCTCAACACAGCTTTAAACACAGCTGCACCACTTGGAAAGCCTGCCGAATAGCAATCCGGCACCATGGCATAGTTCAAATCAGTGAACAAGGTGGCCGACCCAGTTGGATCAGGTAGAGGATGGTAGAGGAGCTGAAAGGTGGAGGAGCTGAAAGCAATATAAATATAATGATTCATCTATGATCATCTAGAGAATCTAGCCTGCAGCTGCAGGTGTCAAAATACGTCAAACCTGCTGCTTGCCACATCTGCCAGGCCCACCCAGAAAGTTCTGTATAAAAAGCGGTGTAAAACACCACACATACATTCACGCCGGTGGAGCATCTCTGCTTCGCCGATCGGGCGACGCAGTGCCTAGACGGGACCGCTGCAAAGCACCGAAAGCGGACGACTGAGGCTGTACGTGCTCGGTGAAGTTGGAAATGTGATTGGGCCCGGAGCTTGGAAACACCGAGGAGCGATGCGGAGCTTTGATGAAATGAAACGTGCGGTTTTGACGAACATTTCCAGCTGAGCTATTGCCACAGCATGTCTGAGACCTATCGGCAGACCACCCAAGTAAAGCCGCCCCTGTTTCACATCCGAACTGTCGGCCATTTGACGGTGAGGCCAGTGGCCTTCTTTTGGTTCGCGTTGCGTGCGGTCTTCATCTCGAATATCGGTTCCTTTGGCTGGAAGAAATGGGCGCACAGGATCTCACCATTAAAAAACACAATGCAGCAGGACATTTGGTTATTACAGTATGGATTAGCCACATGAACAAGTACCTAGTAGCTTCTTGCTCCTAGTAGTAAGGCCAGGAGCCCCTAGGAGCGTCCTTGCTCCGTTCGTAGCGATGCCCTTTGTTCCTAGAAGCGTTCTTGTTCCTAGTAGCGATGCCAGGAGCCCCTAGTAGCGTTCTTGCTCCTAGTAGCGATGCCAAGAGCCCCTAGTAGCGAACATTGTTCCTAGAACAATTAGGTTCATTTGTCTCATTTGTCCTTTTTTTGACTCACCGGATGTCCTGTGATGGTGTTTGACGGCCAGACGTCCAGCTGTGTTTCAGCTACACCAGGCATGTGGATCCGGATCCACGCATGACATCCTGCCACATGGGATCAAGCTTGATCCACTGATTTATGCTGGGGGAACTTCTTCCTTTAAAAATGCAGCTCCACAGAGGTCCACATGGAGTCCACAGCTGCACCTTAGCTTTTGCAACTTCTTCCTCCCAGGTGGTGGTCCCCAGTCTCGGATCCAGAAGTTCTTGCGCTTGGTCCTGCCGAAGACGCGGGATCCCGTGGTCTTGACGGCCCGTCGCTCGGTGAAGACCGGTGGAGACCCGACTGCGGAGAGGGTGCGTGCCCACTCGAGGGGCTTGAAGCGTATTGAGATGTATCGAGCTGTTCTATGTTGTCCTCCTTGTTTTAAATTTGTTTTTATATACATTGATTAAATTGGTGTGTTTTTATATGTTTTTGTACAAATTAAACAGTTTGGTGTGTTTCATAAATTTGTTTTGTTCTCTTTGGCAGTCTCGCAGCCAAAGGGCGCACGGTTTCCGTTTTGGCTCCGTCTCGGCAGTCCAGTGACCAAGCAGGTCAGGTTTGATCCGTGGGGCGGAGTGGCAGTTCCTGTAAACACCCATGGGTCGGATCGCCAAGAGGAAACCGTATGAAGCTGTAGACTCTTGATTTAAAAAAAGACCCTTTGAAGAGGATGTTCAAGTCAAATGGGGGGGGTGTATTAATCAAGAGTCTACATTACTTTAGTTGCTCCAGTCCTGGTGGGTGTGTTCATCGGGTGTTTCCTGGGCTTCTCAGTTCCTATCGCAGTGTGCAGGGGAAGTTCTGGCTGCTTGCGGCTGGGTTGGAATGCTGCTTTATGAATCACCCCATCCCCACGGGAAGATCGAAAACCGAAACGTTCAAAGCCATTCATTTGGAGCACCCATTCACTTTGAGGAGAAGCTGAGAAGGCGCAGATGTTGGTTCCTTTGCTTCTGTGGATGGAGCGTCTTGGCTGGACATCTATATGTTTATGTAGATGAAGACATCAGCCCATTTTCCAGGTTTGCATAGTCTCGCCGGATTTTGAGGTTGACTTGACCTGGCATGGTCAAGTCAACAGGTTCTAAGGGTTCAAGTAACAAATCTGGGCACATCATGACACATTATGAGGGACACTTAGAAGCAATGCGTGTCAAATCTATGATCATAATGTGTCGTAATATGTCGTAATTGGGTGTATGTCAAGGTACACCTATGTCATCATCTTTCCGGCGATTGCCTTCACGGCCTTTTATTTCATTGACTTTAGCATGAAGATCTGGGTGGCCCTCACCGGCTTCGCCATCCTCTTCTTCCTCTGGCAGCGCTATGTGATGCTTTGGCTCTACGGGAAGTCGCAATTTGATTCAGATGCTCGGCGTGGCCACACACTGAGGAGGATTCGCTTGGACTCTGCAACTAGCTGGTAGGCCATTTTCCCTCCTGCTGCATCGGGATCGGCGGCATGTCCGAGAAGGAACACATTGCAGCCAGCTGATCGCAGCCGGCAGAGGAAACATCGCAGCACAAACCAAGAGCAATTGAAACACCTTGTGCTTATCCTCCTCACACACCCTACCAGTCATACACCTCCATGTTCGTTAGCAAACACTTGGGCCTTTTTGGTTAAACAATTCTCCAAGGAAGAGACCTACTTCTCCTTTATCATCATTTGGGGTTTGGTCCTGGCCAAGTGCGCGGCCTCCTTTGCGCTTTGGGCCTATCGCTTGCAAGAGATCACCGAGTGGCCCTTCGCACTGTTGAGCCTTGACTGGCTTAGTCCGAGACTTCGGCCGAGACCGGAGAAGGACGAGCACCCACCCACCACATACGGGACGAGCACCCATCCTTTAAGGGAGGAAGAAGCCAGAACGCCGAGGTTACAGGGGCAGAACAACACACGGCGCTCGACTTTGACTCCCAAGATTTCCATAGTCCTTGTACCAGTTACATCGGTTTGTGTAAAAAGGTTTAGGAATTGGTACAAGACCACTGGAAGGTCCACGCAGTTCATGCCTTCAAACTTGTTCCGAACATGGCACTGCTTGATCTTACACTCAGGATCTTTGTATTGATTTTTCTGCTCACAGCCTTCATCTATACCGCCGGCATTCTGTATATTGAGTGGCTGGGTTGCCTTCGTTTCCGGCTGGTTGTTTGGCTTCCACTGAAGGGGGGGCAACGAGGTATTGTCTGCGTGCAACTTTCAATGTTCCAGAATGTTTCTGCAAAGTGAGTCCTTGGATCAGCATTAAACAAAATGTACATCACATTTATAGCACTACGGGTCCTTTGCTTCCTGATTTACATGAGAAAATCAGACGAATGATTGCAATAAGGGTCTGTCCTAATACCTCTAACAGTCAGTAAACAATTATTACTATTTTTGAAGAAGGCCTTTACTGACCATCATCATCATCATCCACTGTTACAGGTAATAGGATAGACCCAAGCGGCAATAGTGATTTGGGAGGGAACACGTCATTCTTTTCGGGTTCCTTTGAAGATCATGTTGGAACGAATTCCCCAATGATCCTTCTTGGAGCGGCAAAGAAGTGTATAGACGAGACTCTTGCACGAGATGTGTGGGTATGCCCAAGCTTATTCAATTGGTTGACTGATCAGTGAGGGATGATTGGCGGGAATCAAAAGGAAGCCGAACATCTAAGGCCAGCCAATAAAATTCAATATTACCTACTACATATATATATATATTATATATATATTATATATATATATTCATTTGTTAGGTTGCTAAATGAGACACAGCAGCCACCAGATTCTGTTCGCTTCGCATTGACCAGCCGGAATTGGTACCCTGGAAGATTGTCCGCCGTTGCTTGCCAAAGCCCTGAAACCCTTGCTCTGGCAGGTGGTGTTTTGCGAAGGAAGGCAAGACTCTGGACAAAATGGAGGGGGAAGGAGAGGAAGGAGCAGATCCTGGATATGATGCCATCATGGAAACAACTGGGATCTCTTGGTGGAACGTGAACCCGGTTTATGTCGCCCAGCTGCATTTTGTTGTGAGGTATCGTCACACTACCAGTCTGCTGAAACCACTGTGGCAAACCGCTGCGGGGTGCAGTCGATTGTGGGAGATCATGACATTGTTTTCCCTGAGCCCAGGTGCCTTGATGGAGCAGATCCTCCACAGATTCACATTTATGACTATCAGACCTAATCATAGGGCCTTCGGGTATCCTTACACAGCTCAGGTGGTAATGGTACATAATTTTCGTCCACCAACTGTCAGCGCAGCGGAAGAGTGCCGCAACTTCCGCTAGAGCCGCTAGGATATGATCAAAAGAATCCCTACCCCGGGAACTGATGAAACCCTCCTATGACCACGCTTAGGCCTTAGACCATAGTAAAGAACATGGACCGTTTCACTTCTCCGAGATGTGACAGAGACAGAGACCCAAAAGACTTCACTTATATACATAGTACTATTGACGACCAGGTGAGCAGACCTGCGTTCTGCAGTCAGGCCTTGTAGTTGTGGTAGACAATAGCCGAATCCAAATGAGCAACCACTTTTATTCAGGCTTTACTAAAGTAGTCTACGGCACGGCATGCTCTATTTGCTTGTCTATCAGTCTATCATCCGTATTCGCTTGTGAACGAGATAGGGCCACGACATAAACCAGATACTTTGCTTGATGACACTAAAGTAGTCTGAACGAGATGGCTGTGACATGACCTTCTACTTAACCAGTCTAAACGAGATAGGGCCCCCACATAACAGATAGTGCAATCGTTTGCTTTCTTGTCACCTTCGGCGAGGTGCTCAAGCAGCGACTTTGCCCCAATGAGCCAGGCTTCGAGGTCCACGATGCACGGGTGCCTTGCTGGCCCTCCTGGTCTGATCAAGGTTACTTTGAGAAGGGCAAGGACTGGTCCCATCGACTATATAATTGTTTTTTTGTTGGAAGAACGATTATGATCCATTCTGATGATTTTGAATATATTATTTAAGGATGATCAATTTTTCAATGCCTCCAATTGGAATTTACCATTCGGAATTTGAATTGATAGACATTTAATTTGCAGGAATTTAGACATCGACGACACCAACCTAAATTTCATCATTCTTAAACATCGATTCAATTAATAAATATAAATTATAAATCAAAATCAATATAATAATATATATATATATAAATTAATATTATATATAATATATGATATTACTATTTTTAATTATATATTTCTAAATTCTATAAATATATAGAATCGATTAATATTATTAAAATTTATAAAGGAAATCTGATTCTTTATTTTTAAACCATAATAATATGGATTTATTAAAATTCTTTAAAATATTTAATAAATTATTGATTATATTATAACATTTAAAAATATTAATTTAAATTGATGAATTGGAATAAATATATATTTATATATATATAAAACAATTATATTATATTATATATTATATTATATTATATTGTATTATGTATATGTTAAATAGTATTATATTATATAAATATTTGTATATTTGTGTATATTTTATAATTGATATAAATAGGGGGTATGTAGGTAGTAGGGTATGGAGGGTGTAATTTTGTGGTATTAGGTATAGGATTAATTTGTATTTGTGGTGGTGGTCGGTTATGTGTTTTTGATCGATTGGATTATTTATTTTATGTTTTAAATATATTTAAAAATAGGCGTGTACCTTTGTTGTCCTTTCGTAGAGGCGTTTGTGGGCGTTGAGGTTGTATAGGGAATTTTTATAGCGAAGGTCGAAGATTTCGGGGAAGAAATTATTTGAACATGTTATTCTTTTAGTTAGGCGAAGCAAGATAACTCCTTGATGGTTACGTGGAATGGATTTAATATGCGTATTCGAGAGCGGCTAAAATTAATCTCGACATGGAAAATTTCGAATAGAGGTCTGCTGAACAATACCTAGGCAGCGTAAATTACATAGGTTTGGATTTTGCCGCTAACGTAACTCGATCATCTATTTGGATTGTTCCGTAACATCGCTACCGAAAGGGAAGGACTTATCCTATTGCTTTGAAGATCAAACTTGTCCATGGGATAGCTGAGGATTTCCAGCCACTTGAGGTAGCGCAAGATATATTCGTTGCCAGTATTCGTTGCCAGAAACGATGGACTCTTTGGTCTTGGATGCAGACGTTAGGATGCGGTGTGAGGCAGCCGCCAGCGCGGACCAATGCTTAAGGATCGTAGAAGATCTGATTCTTATAATTATAGTTCTCCTCAGCATTATAGAATTCATTAATGTTGAGGACCATGTTGATCATTGCATCATCATCTGGAAATCATTTCTTTGGTGAATTTAATTGCGCACCTGTCGTCGGGCAATTTGTTGCAAAATGGCCAGGCTTGCCGCAGCGAAGACATACCAAGGCTGAGCGGGCACGTTGTTTCCCGCTGGGCCCTTTTCCAGACTTTGAGCAAGAGCTCTTTGACTTGCTAGGACTCTTGGACTTGCCCTTATCGGTGCTTTGGACCATTAAAGGTGCTCGATTCTTGTCGCCATCCACCATAGCCACGACGGGGTAGAAGCCACGGCTTTATCGAAACTGGTTGAGGCGATTCTTTGCATCCACATAGGTGTTATAGATGTCGTCGAACTCTTGTGTGTCGAACAAGGAGTCCAACTCTTCTTGAGCTTCATCGTAGTAGTAGGTGTCATCGGGCTCATGGTCTTCCCATTCCCCAATGGTCTCCTGGAACTCGTCGGGGTCGATGGCGTCCTGGAAATAGGTCTCTTCATTTTCATAGTTTTCATTCAATTTATAATTTTCTTCCCAGAAGGTTTGACTCTGCCTCTTCCATCGGCCGGGGTGTTGTGGCTTCCTCAAATGAGCAGGAAGGTGTGCATGGCGATGATCTTGGTCGAGGATCAGGTAGAGAGCCTATTCGACAGCTGGGAGCGTAAGTGTCGAGCCGATATTAATCTAGATGAGCTGTTCCTGTTCTTTTGTCAATCCGGCCCTCTTCAATATCATCCAGCCGATGATCTCCTCAGGGAGATCGATTTTGTATTTTGTGACCTGCCTAAGGATCTGGTGGAATTCGGTGGGGTACTCTAGGATCGATTGATCCTTCTTGCGCTGCAACTTGAAGAAGAATTGGTCGAAGTGGATCGGCAATTGTCGTCATACGCCCATTGCTTGTCCAAGTGCTTGAGAAGGATGTCGAGACCTATCTCTTTCTCCAGCTCGTGGAAATCAAGATCTTCGCATTGGATCCAGGATGGACCCTCAAGGACTAAGAGGGTATTGAGGACTGTCTCGTTCTTTCGATTTTGGAGCTCGAGCTTGCGGGCATACCAAATCATTCGCCTCCGCCATTCAGCATAAGTCGTGGTGGTGTTGTCGAAGCAAGCACGAAGCTATCCTTCAGATCCTTGCCAGCGTTCGCAGAGGAGCTGCCGCCATTCGCCATGTCACGTGAGGTTCCGCGGCGAGACGGCGACGAAGCCATTTGCTGGAACCCCCTCCTATGAGGAAATTCCGTTGCCAATATAAAAATACGGAATTAATTGTTCGTATTCGAATCGCGACCACGCGAAATATCGAGATGGAAAAAAAAATACAAATAATTATCTATTTTGCATGTACGCAACACGTAAAATCTCAAAAGGCCCCTATATAAATGTAAGAAAACCGAGAAAACAATGGCCGTCGGCCAAAAATTGCTCTATTATTCGATTACACGGCGTAAAATCCACGCAACAATTTTAATTAATAAATATAAAATATTCAAACAATTTAAATAAATGAATATCATCGAACAACCAATATTTACAAAATAATATATAATTTACTATCAATATTAAAATATACTACTTAAGGCCAAGGGGGGGGCGAAAACTAGCGCTCCAGAATGGGAAAATGGAAAGCAACGAAGTAAGAAAAAATACGGCGTTCTTTTTGGAGGCAGGGGGTAAAGAATCCTTTATATATGGCTCTTTGCCCGAATCCTCCTACGAGAGAAAAAAAAGAAGAGAAATAGAAAGACGAGAGACAGAAAAAAGAGAAAGAGAGATAAGAAAAAAGAAAGAGATGAAAGAAGAGAGAAAGATAAAAGAAATAAAGAAAGAAAGAAACAATAAAACAATGCGGCCGCAACGCTAACCGCATGCCAAAAAACGACGACAAAACGGAATCGAACTTACGAAGAAGGAAGAAAGAAAGAAAGAAAATAAGGAAGAAGAAAGGGGGAAATAAGATAAAAAGAAAAAAGGAAAGAGGAAGGGAGAAGGGAAAAAGAAGAAGTGGGGGCAAAAAAGGCTTCGACCTAAAAAATCAGGGATTAAAATTTACACCCGGTCGAAAAAAACCTTACTATCGCAAAATAATTCCAACTAGCTTCGCTACCTTTCGTAATAAAATACAATTCCATTTATTTTAGATGTATTTTAATATATAATAAATATAGTAATTATATTATTACTAAATTTCTAATTATATATAAATATCATATTTTATTAAATAGATAAAAAATATATATATTAATTCAATAAATTTAATAATTCTATAAAACATATTTCAATTTATTTAAATTCATAATATATCATTATCGCTATTTATCCAAATATTTTCTAAAAAATATTTTCTATACAATCAACCATTAAATATTCTATAAGATCTAACAATAAATCGTACCCTCTCTCTAAAAAATTATAGATATTTATTTTGCTAATATTATCTTTAATATCATCATATTAATAATATGGAAATTATATTTCAAGAAATATATCAATATTTAATCCTATAAAGTTATTGTTTATAGAATCTAAGAATTATTCTAAAATATATCATATTAATTTTCAGAAATAGCATTCCGACAATTTAACTTGAATCCAAAATTCAAACATAAACATATACATCTATTGTGACCCTTCTAGATTTTGGTCATAAATGCTCCGTGGTCTTGATTCTTCGAAGTTCCACACTGACCTGCCCTGTTTTTGTGCACAACTGCGCCTCATTTTGTGCTGGCTGTTGTCTCAACCAAGGATAACCAAGGCATGATCGTTGGCAAAGCCGGTCTCCACTCTTGTATCTGCTATCTCCTACCATTTGTATCCGTTTGTATTTCTTTGTTTTGCGCACAGAAACATTTCAAAACACATTCAGATGATGTTACAAATTTTATCAAATGTTCGTGTTTGGGACACTTATTTAGCTGGGTCGATAGGGTATTTTCAATGGAGGTTGTGAGTTCATCCTTAGATGCGCCCGACATGTGTTCCAAGGGTAGCTTTGTTCCTTGAAATTCCCTAGCTGCCCCAGCCACAAAGGCAATGACCAGGTGGTTTCTATCAGCTTTTCATTTCTCAAGTTGTGGAACAAATAGAACACGACAATAGAACCAAATGCACCTGGCAGGGGAGTTTCGATGGATTATTCTTTGAACTGCTTTTTGGTCACCTTTGCTGCAATCGTTCTTCGTAGCGCTCGAGATACTCATCCAGGAATTCTCCGGCATCTGAGAAGCCAGCCTTGATGGCGCAGCCAGCGGACCACGAAAAGCTTGTGGTTTCATGCAAAGCAGCGGCCCCAATAAATCCCTCGCATTACAAACACATCATTTCGCTTGCCCAATCCCTGGCAGTTCGATGGATGAAAGAAACTGAGGAAGTCCCAATGATTGAGTTTACTGCTTGGTATTGCAAACCAACTGCTGGAAATTAGATGAACTCTTATGCCACGGAAGCCAATTCTGGTGGATAACTTTCACCCACGAACAAAAGGTGGACAGTGTATGCAGCAAAACTTAAATGGGTTCCGAAAGAAACTCTTCCGGCAGAGTTCTATTGCGAAGGAGATCTGGATCTATCGGTTTTGCTAAGTCTTCCTGCCCACTTTCGCCTGTCTGAGTCTGGCTGCTAGACCCTTCTCAGCCATTACCACAAAATACTGATTCATTGACCCATCTGGGGTCTTAGAATAGGGAGACCCCTCATTCAAGAACCCCTCAAACTGGCCTAACTAAAGTCATCTTGAGTCTCAACATCTCAACTCATTAAATGTTGACGGTGGGTGACACAAGCCCCCAAATTCGAGATGTTGGATCCTCCAAATAGACGGGTTTTATTATGGTTTTCACAT